AACAGCATGGTGGGAGAGGGTTAAAATTCTGGAAAGTAATCTAGTTAGGTGGAGAGAGAGGTTGATTACTGAATCCTTGTTCATCGAATCTACACCCAACACATGCAATAGGTATGAATCATCACTCATACCCGAAATCTGGAATATAATACTACCAATCAAATCAAGTTAATGGCTTTGTGTCGGAGATTTCATTTCCTTTCCAGACAAGATATTCAGTGCGTACGTGTGTTCTTCGATTCCTCCAAGAGATAATCAAACGTCTCACCGAATTTCCCTTTGACGTGATTGGTTCTTGCTTCAGATTTATTTCTCTCTTCAGATAACTTGTATTTCGACTGGTTACTTTGTTGATCTGAAGGTCAAGCTATTTGTCTAATTACTAGTTGATTGATAAATCTCACCTGTGTCCGGATGTCTGTCTGATGGCGATTCGTTGAAGTTCCAGTCTTCAAGACACTGAGTGACATTTTGTGTGTCTTCATTGTGTCGGATTCATACAGATCATCAATGACAATCGGGGTGTTGCGAATATGGTATACAGGTCAGAGATGTGAACTACCAGGAAGCTGTTTAGCCCTCATCATCCTATGCGACAACCACTTTTCTTGAAACTCCTATCGAGCAATTCTTAGCAGTCAATGAATACTTCAGCTGGAATTTGGAATGTATATGCTTCGAAAGTTTTTCAAATGCCGGATTGTACAACTCTCAGGGCTACCTGATCCTACATTTAACATTAAACACTAAATTCGCTGCATTTCGTTTGTATTTATTCAGCTAATCATGTTGGAGAACCACATCCTCCAAATATTCCCCGTTTCGTGTTTTGTCATTTGAAGGTTCGAAGTTCGAGTTGGTTTCATGTGGTTGCTAGTCTCACCCCTAGTCTGCTCACCTAACTAAACTAACCACCGGGAAGTAAACAAGTCCAGTCACTGGATGGTATCCATCGACGATTCAATCTTTACTACATGAATATTTGGAGAGCAGGCTACCGTTATGCTTACACTATCCACCTCTTATTCTGAACGCAAGAAGCTTGAGTTCTCATGGTGATTTGGTGAGAAATATGACATTGTCTTCATTTCTGTCCTGCACCAAGATTCTACACCAAAGATATGTTTTACTCAACAAAGTACATTCAGAATTCAGTATTTTGTAGAAATGTACTATTAAAAATTAGGCCATCATTAGGTTTGAAAACCTCAGGTGATAAAACTGATGAATACAAATTTCCCAGGACTCTTTTATTTTTGAATCTTTCAGAAAGTACACAAAACTCTCAGAAACAAATTGGTGATATTCCCATAATTCATCTTCAGATGCGAACCAATTCAACCTGTACTTTGAGTGAGGTGAAACGATTTCAAAGTGGAAGTCACACAGTGTGAATTTTTCTGTCCCTTGATAGTAAACCCTCTCTCCTCCTCATCTGTTTCATGGGATCCTGTCCTCATTCACAATATTTAGAAAATTGTTTCAATCTCGTGGTTGAATTCTATCACGTAAACAATTTTTCTTCAATCTCAACAAAATGTTTTCAGCGTGAACTCACTCCAAAGTATTCTGCATAAACCTGATACATTTTCAAGTGGTAATATGTTTGAATGAAGTTGTGATGAGAATTCCATCACAGTATTGTGAGAAAATTTGTTAGTATTTGTGTGGTTCTGTTCACGTGGCAGCAAGCTGAACAACATGAAATTGCGATTGTGTATGATGTTTGACGATGTGAGATTGTACTTAATAAAAGGAACTGTTGGTGACATTAGCTGGGCTATCTCCTCAGCAAAACGGGGCAAATAACCTGGTTTCTTTTGCCTGTTGATTCCCATGAACTTCCTTAGTTTGTTCAAAAAACGGCCACTGTAAAATATTTGGCGCTCAATCACACGTTTATTGCCTGCGACCCCTTCACCCTCACGTTGTGTTGTGTTGTGGGTGTTCAGAAATTTTGACAAACAAATTCTTCCCTCTGTTCTTCCATCGCATGTGCTTTGGCATGGCCATGTTAATTGGAAGACACAGTTGGAGATAACATGAATTGTGAGTTTGTGCACTTTTGACTGTCCTAAGCAACTGGTCGGCTCTCTTTTATCATAGCGTGAAACCACACTGAATTTTCGGTACAAATATGCAGACCGACCATTCATATGCGGTAGGCGTCGACAGGGGATCGAACCTCGGACGATGTGCATGGTCGGCAAGAGTCATAACCACCATGACACCGACTCAACAAATGCATTCTTGGCGACTGTATGTGTTCTTTTCAGGGCCTCGTTCAGTATGCATCTTATTCCACCTGCATTATCATCACCTTTAAAGCAGGTCGAAGAAAGATGTAGTTTTTATCGATTAATATTCCGGTGAATGGAGAAATCTCCAATGCAATTCAACTAATGAAATTTTGAGGATGATCGATGTCTCATGTCCCCTAAACTTGAGGAATCACAAGCGAAAACTGACAAACTAGCAGAAGCGTTAGGCAGCGACGACCGGCTTCCAGCACAAAATAGGGGAAATAGAGATGGTGGAGATTACTGACCAATCAACAGCATAACAACCACCACCAATCACTATTCCATGGGGGAATGTGAAACAGCCGAATTCATCCATATATCTAGGAATAGTCTTTTCAGACACATGTGGAATGGATGAAGATGTCAAATGCAGATTCAGAATGGATACACGGATGATATTCATCAATCTAAGAATCAAATCGGAAATCCTCTGCACTCACAACTTGGAACGAAATTCGGATTTTCACCACATATGCTTGAACTCATTCACTTTTTCTTTTTTTATATGGGTCAGAAACTTGGTCAGGAGGTTACAGACTGCATTTGCAACATGGCACTGCAGACGTGTTTTCAACAGCTATATTCGCGAACGGCATATTGGCGATCGAATGGTCAAGATGATTTAGCCAGAAGAAACTGTGAGAACAGAGTAATCAGGAACCTTTTCACTTTTGTTAGGAACAGGCTGGTCGTTTGCAGTCGGGGAATAGGCTAAATTATGACCAAATCTGAAGAATACTCCACTACTATGTGGAGAAACTACCTAAGAAGGGCGACCTAGGACCCTACAAGAACTGACAAGGAATCATGCTGCTGTCGACGCAAAGTAAAATCCTGAGTCGCATCATCCTCTAGAGAATAAAGGACGCAATGGATACAGAACTCCGATCAGAACAAGCTGGATTCAGGAAAGGCAAATCATGTTCTGACCAAATCGCAACTCTACGCATTATCATCGAACAAAGCATGGAATGGCAATCAAACATCTACCTCAACTTTATAGACTTTGAGAAGGCCTTCGACAGCGTTGACCGCGAAGTAATTTGGAAACTACTCGAGTACTACGGCGTACCCCAAATATTCATCAACCTTATTCAACAGCTGTATGACAACGACAGATGTCAAGTGATCCACAACGGAAAAATCAGCGAAGTGTTTGAAGTAAACACGGGAGTCAGACAAGGATGCTCATTATCACCAATGATATTCCTAATTGTGGTGGACTGGATTATGCGTCAGACAGTGGGAAACGAGAAGACAGGGATACCCTGGACAGACATGAAGAACCTAGAAGACCTGGATTTCGCGCGTGGATGATTTATGTTTGATGTCACACAAAATCGAAGATTCACAAGCGAAAACCGACAAACTGGTCGAAGAAGCAGCGAAGACAGGACTGACTCCAGGTGAACATAGACAAGACGGAGGTTATGAAAATAACCAACCAACCAACAACAACAACAGCAACATCCAGCACCAATCACCATCAACGGGAGGTCTTTGAAAGAGGTTACTTCGTTCACTTATCTAGGGAGCATTGTGACAACTGCAGGAGGAACGGACGAGGTTGTCAAATCGAGAATCGGAAAGGCGAGAAACACATTCATCAACCTGAAACCAATCTGGAAATATTCCTCACTCAGCATCAACAACAAAATACGGATATTCAATACAAACGTCAAGTCAGTCAGTTCTTCTATACGGATCAGAAACTTGGCGGGTCACCAAGAATATTTCCAACAGGTTGCAGACCTTAATCAACAACTGTCTTCCCTAGCATCATACTGAAGATCAGATGGCCGGAAAGAATCACAAACAAGAAGCTATGGGAACAAACAAAACAAGAATTAATCCCTTAACAAATATTCAGGCGAAAGTGGAGATGGATTGGACACTCGCTGAGGTGGCCGTTGGGTGAGATCGCGCGTAAGGCCAACGCTCGAGTGGAACTCGAAAGGGAAGTGGCGAGTGGGATGTCCAAGGGTGACATGGAGGAGATCGTGTGAAGAGGAGCTGCAACAGTATGGACTTACATGGATGCAGGTGAAAAGTACAGCAGAAGACAGAAGCTATTGGAGGCGTGCAGTTGAGGCCCTATGTTCCACTAGGAACCCAAGAGAACAATAATGATAATAATTATGTGGAGATGACAGTTTGCATCTGATACAGATGTTGTTATAGGACAGAGATGTCTTGCAAATCAATACGACTTACAAAACTTGATCAATGAAATAGGCAACTTTCGTAAATACCTGTATAGATGTCGCATCAACCCTTTCTGTGACTTTTTATTTTGTGGGCCAATTCCCACAACCATAAACAATGCTTCAATTGGCGGAAACCATCCACCAAAGTTGTTAAAACCACAATCACTACAGACATAGAAGAAATGCCTTTTGAGCGTAATTCCGCATGCTGGAGAACACTTGCAAGTGAATTCGATTCTCACATACTCACCAGTTCATCGTCTATTCACAACACCATTCATGTGTAAGTAAATGATCTTCCATACAACTGAGCGGTCATCAAACGTGATTCATTTTTCAGTAAACCTAAGTGATTGCAATGTACACATCCATTTTATTATTTTTGTGTAAGGACACTATTTACCTCGACATAATTACACGTAGTCATGTGATGATGAGAAGAAAATTATTCTATATAAAGGGAGATATTAGAAGCTCATTTTCAAGTGATTCTGAGCAGAAATATGATGCTCTCAATGCAATTTATTCTTCTCTCAGTAATTCCACTGGCTCTGGCTAGTCGAGATGCATATCAGGAGAAAATATTCCAAATGCACAATGAATATCGTAAACAGATACTGGAGTGTAAAGTGGACGGACAACCAGCAGCTAAGAGAATGCCTCCTCTCGTGAGTCCACTTTGTGTTGTTTATTTTCCTCATTGTTTTGTATGGCTTCTAAAGTGTTAAGATAATTTTAAAACCATTGTAGTTTTAGTGAATGAACAAACTTCTTCTGTATGCAGAACTTATAGATCAATATGTGAATAGTCATCTCTCTGGAGGTTTGAAGAAAACCGTGTAGCTGACGAACAGCCTCACTAACATCCTAAGCTACACGCATGCAGACGAATGAGTTGATACCCTTCGGTAGGATTAGCACTCGAAACTTATCATTCATATTCATACGAATCACTGGTTGAGTGAAGGAAGTGAGTCGGAGTTCAACTGACTGGGACAGGCGGTATTTCAAAATTTCTGCCGATGAGTCCTCATTATATTGTAGATTCATATAAATAAAAAATCAAAACAAATGATTCAGTGAAGTGACTCTTTTCAACGAATTTATCATCAAGCTGTACAATCGTATATATATGGTTTTTTTAAAGAAGTTATATCCGGTGAGGGAATTGAAACATAGGTGTGAATGCATAAAATAACAATAATAATAATATGAAATGCAATTAAAACTAAAATGTTTGTGATTATAATCGTAGTTAAATGTCAAGTGGCAAAGCAAATTAATGTCATATATAGAATAATTCATAGGATGGATAGAAATTGAAAAAGGGTGTGCAATTATAAGATTAGTAGACAAATCGAAAAAATAAAAACGTTACGTAATATTGTGTGAAATTTGATAGCATAGAATTTAATGTTGCATAAAGGAATTGATTTAGAATGACAAGCGGAACAAGTGAAATAATACCGGGGACAATCATAAGTGAGAGTAGTAATAGTAACAATTGACTTAATAAGGAAGAGTATACAAATTGAATAGACAAAAATGAAAAAATGAAAAAATGGAGAGTTGGTAGAGCTAAAATATGATTGGGGATTACCATACTTTAGCATAGAGGGATTAAGACCATGAAAGTTGGAGGGATTGAACGAACTTTTTCTGCACACAGAGATCTGGCTTTTCTGTTTCGATAGCCATAGCTTCAGCAATACAGATGAGTCGGGTACGTAGGGATTTGGGTAGATTACTCTTTGCCTTGTAGAAGACTTTGAAGGCGGTGGCTATAGAGATGGGGTGATCATTATCGACCAGATGTCCAATGATCGCGCTTCACATTGCTCCACTACCACCTTTTCGTAACCATGCAGGATAGTGTTCTTGCACCCTCTTGGACAAAACTCGTGTCGAAGGACCGATATACCTAGCTCCACAGGAGCAGGTGAATTGATAAACACACATAGAGTTGGTCAACAGCGGGATCTTGTCCTTCAGGTTATTGAACAATAATAGTCGACTAATAAAGGCTATTCTCAGGGATGCAGCAGGGAATGTTCTTTTCAGGGATTGTGATATCCTCCGTTTCAGGATATCGGAAGCTAAGTCCCCTTTGAATTCCAAGCTTATGTAAAGTATCTTCTTGGGTACGGTTGATAACTCACGTTTTTAGGATTTGAATGAATATTCTTATCTATAAAACGTGGTGGAAATCCATTTTCTATTAGGATTTTCCTCAAGATGTATAACTCATCTTCCACAGTATCAGAGCTACATATGCGCTGAATACGAGTGGCAAGCGACCGGATCAGGTTTCGTTTTCGACCAATGGGTACCCAGCTGTAGAAATTTGTCAGTTGACCATTCCATGACAGCTTGCGATAAATTGATCTTTTTAGGGTTCCATCGGTATTTTCGGAGGCAAGAAATGTGTATGATTTAAGTGGTGCAGGCATCATCGAATCGATTACGTAGAGTTTCAAGTATTCACGTTCACATTGTGCTTCATTTTCTCCCAGAGCATTGCACTGGTACTCTTACACTTTCCATCATATTTGTGTATATTTACTTGACGAAGACACTCCTTGTATCCTTGTTGTTTCTCCGTCTATTATAGATATGGGATGAAGAACTGGCTAGTCAAGCGGAAGCATTATCTAAGTCTTGTACATTTACTAACAATAATCCTACAAGCAGAAAATATAATCCAGTTGGACAGAATATTGCTAGTTGTGGAACTGTCGAAGAGTAATCTTGATATTTACCATCATAATATCATATTTATTTCAGTGTTATGAAAAGATGGTTTGGTCAACAGATTTGGTATAATTTTACAGAGCATAAGTGCAGTCCGTACAGACGATGCAGACAGTACATGCAGGTAAGTTTTGATCGATTAACAGACTTCAGGCATCCTACTATTTTGAGTGATTGTTATTTGAAAATAATTAACCATGTAGACAAGTATCTTGCTATGCAATTAGTGATAACAATAATAAAAATAAAGCATCTGCATTCTCGACAGTATTCATCAAATTCGCAGAACTTTCAAAGGAGTTTATTACATGATATTTTGTCTACGTACAATATGTTCAAGGTGTGTTTACGGCTTGATGTTGAATATCAACAAGACTGAGAGTTAATACCCAAGTGACTCAGTTGTATTAGGAGCCTTTTTCATCCACTCTCTCTACAGTCCAAATTTCTGAGTAGTATTGAACGAAGACAGCTAACTGTTGATGGAGGTGTGTAGTTTGTTCAAAGTGCCCTTTATGACGCGCTGGTCAAGTCTCTGATACGTATAGTAAGTAACAATGACTTCGCATTAGAGTTGAAAATCCGGATGTTATTTTCATTTTCATTCTGGGTGTTGACCTGAGATTAATGAAAACTTGACTTGCTTTCGCGGTCTTCGCCTTGATATCCTCATCAGTTGCGTCCGGCTGTAGTTGAAACGATGCTTCTCAGGTAGTTAGATGGTAAGTGAAGGAGTTCGCTTCATTCAGATTTCTCCCGTTTATTCTGATTGTTGTCTGCTGTTGTTTTTGTTGGTGTTGCTGTTGGCCAGGAATCTTCATCACCTATCTCCGTTTTCGCAACGTTCACCTAAATCCCTCAGTTTGATGCTTCTTCTGCCTACTTGGTGCTTTTCACTTGCACATCTTTAGTTTATTGGTAGTCACACATATATGATCGGGGAAGTCCTGATCCTCCAAGTGTTTTGTTTGGGTCCATTTTATGCCTGTCTCCTCGCTATCCGCCGCTGTCTGTTGCATTGTCTAGTCTACCGCCCTCGATCAGGAAAATCATTGGAGATAGTAGGCAGCCAGCTTGTCTTACTCCTGTCCTCACTTCGAAGGATTCTGTGAGTTTGCCATTGTGGATTACTTGGCATGCAGCATAGTCATACAACCGTTGGATGAGATGTATAATTGTTGGTGCCCCCCCCCCTTGGTAGTAGCGAAATAGTTTCCAAATCACCTCTCGATCGACGCTGAGCTGTTGAAGGCCTTTAAAAAGTCAAATATATTATGAATTCATTGAACACATCATAGTTTTGTTCGTATAAACTGACAAGTATTCAAGCAGTCGACAAATTCAATAATATGAATCATTATTCCCTTGAGTTCCTAGTCGAACAGCTCATGTTCAATTTAGTGTATTGTCTGTAGTCCATCTTTTGCTGTCTCCACCGCTGACCATAAGCTTCCACCCTCACACTCCTTCACAACCTCATCCTGCTACCGAACCTTAACACATCATTTCCCAGTGGGGTTCCATCAAAGAACTTCACCTCATCTAGTCAATTAGTTCATTAGTTCACAATTCAGTCGTAAGAGCCAAAAAAGAGGAAAGATTGATCATGGGGCAACAACCCTCCTTCATTCAGGCAGAATACAAATTCCATCAATATAGAAACCTGATTTGATAGAGAAAGTGTTTATTGGAATTGGTATGAGTAAATCTGCACTAAAACTCTCGCCGTGAAATAATCTTAATCTTCCCGAATTTCTCTTTATCTATTATTTTGTTAATTAGATGGTTTTCGAAAATACTACACATATTGGATGTGCAGTCACAGAATGTCCATTCGATGAAAAATATTCACACGCCTTGTTCATAGTTTGTAACTATGGTCCAGGGTAATTGTTTTATATGATTTGTATTGATAATTGTTTTTGTTATACTGTGAAGCATTCAGTTCATTGCTAAGTAGTTAGGAGACATTTAGAGAATCACAATGATGCAGGTGGTACGATGACAGCTACTTCATCTTACTTTCGAGTTGTTCAGCAGTACGCGCCCGTGATTCCACAGGCGACCGAACTGAGGAGCACTGACTTCTGTCCCAATGGCTATGATCTACAAGCTTGCCATATAATCGCACAGTCTTGGGTACGTTCGATATCTGGTGGCTTCATTGGCTCACACCACCGCTGCTTAACAGTACCGAATACGAAGGGAACAACTGCTCAGCAGTACTCTCACCCGTTTTCAAGGGTTCTCGAATTGAACTCAGTTACTGGTCAATCCAGATATTCACACTCCATTTCAAAATCATATCTGGAACCGCAAATGCTAAGCATATCAGTTCTACTGTTCTTCTCATAGATTATTCTCCTTTAGATGTAGGATAACTCTAAAAAATAATCACCTGCTACTGTGCTCCGATTCCCCTCAGCCATAAGTATCCAGTTTCCATTGTCATATCTAGTTACCTTAATAATGAAGTTTAATGCATTCGTGACATTTTTATTACTCAACGTTTGTATAACTGAATGAGACTAGGCACACAGTACATAGAGCACTGTAAAATTACATTCATGTACGCGTAGCGCGTACTACAGTCTTCCACATATTAATATATGTGTAAAACTTGGGCACTGTGGTAGTAAGTAATTCCATATTAGTTTGTTTATTTGATATATCACAAAGTGAAACACTATTATTTACTGGATGACATTTCGAACAAAATTTATTGCCGTTCATAATCATATCAATTGTGATCACACGACTTTGACACTTGAGTTTTATAGTTTTCTTTGTTCTCTCCTATTTGTCGTCGTATGGGTAGTAGAATTTTCCAAATATCGGGGACAGGTGATGAATCATTCCTATTACATGTATTTGTAGTTGATTCGATAAACAAAGCTTCTGTTATCAATCTCGCCAACCACTCTGTGACTGAGGATTTTAAAACTGTCATCTTATCCCATCATTCTATTGTATGGTTGTGTGTAATTGCATGTAGTGCTATAGCTGAACTATTCTCTAGATTTCTTATCTTATTCGGGTCAACCAATCTAGATTTTGCTAAGTTTTTATGTTCAGCTAGTCTGACTGCCCCTGTTCTACTACTTTGACCTATGTATTTGACCTGACAATCATTCCAGCAGGGTATTAGATAAACTAAATTGTTTTGTTCTAAAGGCTCTACAGGATCCTTCAACCGATCCTTTAACCAACAAACTCAATTAGAAATAAGCTTTGTCGGCTAAAGGATCCAGTGTAACCTTTAAAACAAAACAAATTACTTTATCTAATACCCTGCAATGATTGTCAGGTCAAATACATAGGTCAAACTAGTAGAACAGGGGCAGTCAGACTAGCTGAACATAAAAACTTAGCAAAATCTAGATTGGTTGACCCGAATAAAATAAGAAATCTAGAGAATAGTTCAGCTATAGCACTACATGCAGTCACACACAATCATACATTAGGATGGGATAGGATGACAGTTTTAAAATCGAATGTCACAGGGTATAGGAAGAGATTGATAACAGAAGCTTTGCTTATCGAATCAATTGCAAATATATGTAATAGGAATGATTCATCACCTGTCCCCGATATATGGAAAATTCTACTACCCCTACGACAAATAGGGGAGAACAAAGAAAACTATAAAACTCAAGTGTCAAAGTCGTGTGATTACAATTGATATGATTATGAACAATAAATTTTGTTCGAAACCTCGTCATCCAGTAAATAATACTGTTTCACTGTGTGATATACCTAATTAACAAACTAATATGGAGTCTTCAACATAGTTTACATTTTGTAAATTTTTACATGCGTGTTTCTTAAATGCTCATTTCTCAACTCTTGTGTTTGTGAAAACTGCTTAATATTTTAGGGCGAAATTTTATGTAAGACCATATGAAGCCAAGAATATAAAAGAAGTATGTCCATTGAAAGGGACTACAGTAGCTGCTCAACCGGAGCATGGACAGCCACAGCCTATGAAATATAAGAACAGAAATAAACCAAGAAGGAATAAATACTAATTAATAATTCAATATAAAATCTGTGTTACCCAATACATGCAAACTTTTTCAAATATAATGACTTTTATATTCTCCGGGTTTTCTCTCTTTGAGAGGCGTCTATGTGGAACGGTTATGTGTAGCATTCAAATATTGAATAGGTGGAAGCAGAGATGGGATATTCTTGGTGATAGGAAAGTGCCTGTTCTGTTGCGCATTTCTACTTTCCACGATAGACTTTACAATACCTTCTGTATACAAACAGTGATATGTACATCGAATAATCCCACTGATTTCAAGCAGTTTTCGTTGTCAGTGATTTCGAAGTCACATTTTCCCGTTCCTACGTATTCATTCTCCTGCTTCGAATGTCATCTGTATGTGGTGGAACGTCTGTTGTACATTGAAAGTAATCTGGAGCTGAGATAAATACGTCTAGTCCGTGTGCGAATATCTCAGGTTATCAAAGAAATCTGGAACACCAAGTGTTTGTGCACAATAATATAAAGTCATCAATGTTTGTGTTTTATGTCATTGTTGAATTCCAACTCTTCAGCTGCCAACATACTTCAAGTTGATGATGCGTAAATGTACACATCCAATCTTGTCACACTTGCAGCAAGGGTCAGCATGATTTTCGCTAACAGAGACATGCATGTTAATAAGCAATGCTCAGTTGTTCAACTTATATAACTTATTCAAGTGTTGGTTTGTAGGGATTTGGTTGATTGGTTACAGGATTTTCATCATGAGCTGACATTAGTTAGAGAACCATTGGAAAACCAGGTGGGAGTACAGGACAGTTGTTTCGTCCTAGTTTGGGACTCTTCAGCAGTACGCACCCACCACCGGGATTCGAACCCAGGACCTTCTGGTTACAAAGCGAGCTCGTATACAATTAAGCCACTGGGACCTGATGCAATGGCCCATGAATTCTAACTTCTGCCGATTCACGACATAGTGCGACCCCTAACCAATGTCTTCACCGAGTATTTGTCCTCACACTCGACCTGCTGCACCCTACTTGTCACTTATTGTTATTAGAGGAGGAGGAGGTCAAGATTCGAGCAGAATACGAACATGCAAAACTAGTGGTCAGATACTATCCAAAGTGGTTACGTGGTATGTTACAATAATGGTAATAATTACATCTTACTTTTGAAGAGTTCTTACCAAATCTACAGAATTCTGTGGGGAGTTTATCGCATGATATTCACCCTTAGTACAATATCTTCAAGCAAAATATTAATTGAAAGTCTCTCCTGTGACAGAACGTTCTCTTAGCTGAAGAATGTCATTGTGAAATATCTGCGTGATGTCCTTCGTGAAATCCACGATACCTGGTTGAAAGGCGGCAGGTAGAGGGATTATTCTTATTATTGTTCCCTTGGATTCCAAGTGGAACATAGTGCTTCAACTACACGTCTCCACTTGCTTCTGTCTTCTGCTGTATTTTTCACTTGCATACATGTTAATCCATACTGTTTCAATTCCTCTTCACATGATATCCTCCATGTAACCCTTGGACGGCAAACTCGCCAATACCCTTTCGAGTTTCACTCGAGCACTGGCCTGACGCGTGATGTCACCCAACAGCCACCTCAGTGAGTGTCCAATCCATCTCCACTTTCTCCCGCATATTTGTTGAGCGATTGATTCTTGTTTTGTTTGTCCCCATAGTTTCTTGTTGGTGATTTTTTCCGGCCATCTGATTTTCAGTATAGAACGAAGACAGTTGTTGATAAAGATCTGCAACAGGCTGTTGGAAATATTCTTGTGTTTGTCCTCACACCCAACCTGCTGCATCCTACTGGTCACTTATTATTGGTAGAGGAGGGAGAGTAGGTCAAGCTTCGAGCAGAATGCGAACATGCAAAAGTAGTGGTCAGATACTATCCAAAGTGGTTACGTGGTCTATTACAATAATGGTAAGAATAACATCTTACTTTTGAAGAGTTCTTACCAATTCTACAGAATTCTGTGGGGAGTTTATCTTCAAGTAAAATAATTATTGAAAGTCTCTTCTGTGACAGAAAGTTCTCTGAGCTGAAGAATGTCATTATGAAATCTCTGCGTGGTGTCCTTCGTGAAATCCACGATATCTGGTTGAAAGGCAACCGGTAGTGGAATAGTGAGAGGTATTTTTTGAGACACAAAGACATAAGCGAAGAATAGTTAACCCATGTAGTGGAACATGTTGATACCTACATTCAGGCCATTCCTAAAAATTTGTAGGAATCTGTAAGTCAGAATCAATACTGGGAAGCTGTTTCACTCTAGTTTTAATCTCTTCAGCAGTGCGCACTCATCGTGGTGTGAACCCACGACCATCTGGTTACAAGGCGCGCTTTTGATCAATAAGCCACTACGACCCGATCTAGTCACTCGTGATTTCGAACTTGTATTAGTTCATGATGTAGTAAGACAACAGCCAATGTCTTCGACGATTATTCTTCGTCACGCTTAACCTGGTGAAATTTACTGGTCACAACTTCACACCAGAATCTCAGGTAACTACCTGACTGAATATGGCCAGTCGCTATTGAGCATCTCACTGATATTCAAGTGTTCGTTTGTAGTGAGTTTATTGATTCGTCTCAGTATTTAATGAAGAATTATTAAATAAATAAATAATTAATTAAGTATTCATACTTGTATATTTCATAAAATTTGTGTATTTTGATACATGTACTTTTGAAATGTAGAGATTTTCAAATGTTACTGGCACCTTTTGGTTTAGAAGAATTTGTGTGAGAAACTTATGTGTTCTCTTAGAACAATCAGAATAATCTTGATGGATGAAATGTGTGTCTTCTGTTGTAGGTTCGTTCAGAACAGTCCTCGGGGTATGTTTACTGTTGTTGATGTTCACTTTGGTCATGAGTAGAAAATAAGTCTTCAACAACACATCTACAGTGTTTTCTACTCACTGCAGTCCACTTCATCTGGTCCCAACACTGTCCATTAGCGCATACCTCCTTCTGCTCATATGATGTGCTCCATGTCACTGTGTCATTCCACACTCGTCGTTTCCAAGTAGAGTTTCAATCAGGCGATGTACTGTTGTGCGATATCACACACTAGTCTCGTAAACGTGTTTCCGATCCCTTTCCATTTTATTCGAAGCATTTGTTGACTAACAGATTCTCGTCGAGTTCGTCTTCAGTGTTTCTTGTTGTTTACCCTTTCTGACTAGCAAGTCGACATTCCGTATGTGGCCAGTGATCTCACATATTGATAAACGTCTGCAGTCTGTGGCTTATTGGAAATGCTCTTCGTTACACGCCAAGTTTCCTTTCTGTTGTGTTGATGTAATTTCCAAATTACTTCATGGTCAATACTGTTGGAGGCATTTCCGAAGTGGATGAAATCTAGATAGAGATGTGATTGCTTTTATACACTCTGTTCAATGATGAGGCATAGAGTTCTTGTTTCACTCGCTTATGATTAGCTTCCTCCCAAATCTCTTCTGAACGAAACGGCTTAGTATATCGCTTGGCGGAAACAGCAGCTTCGCTTCACAGTTTGTTCTGCTCTCATAAAATGGGAAGATTCTAGTTTTATTTGAGTCTAAAATGCAGTGCTCATTACACATGTAACATACACACTACCTGCTGCAAAATGATATCATTCACAGAAATTGATGAGCAGGGTGTTTCAATAACGGTACTTGACCAGGAATGTGAGACATTGCGAAGTATGCTTGAGAAGATTTACTGGTCAGATGGATGACAAGGGTATGGTTGTATCCTGTTTGCTGAATGGATATTTCATTGCCTTTGTAGACAAGATGTTCAGTGCGTACGTGTTTTTTTCGAATCCTCCATGAGATAATCAGACGTCTCACCAAGTTTGCCTTCGACGTGATTGGTTCTTGCTTCAGATTTATTCCTCTCTTCAGATAACTTGTATTTCGACTGGTTACTTTGTTGATCTGAAGGTCAAGCTATTTGTCTGATTACCAGTTAATTGATTAATCCAACCTGTGTCCGGATGTCTGTCTAATGACGATTCATCGAAGTTACAGTCTTTAAGCCACTGGGTGACAAATTAAGTGTCCACATTGTCTAGGATTCATAGAAATCATTAATGAAAATGAGGCCATTGAGGTGCTTTTACCAGCCACCTGCATACCTGTTCTGCTTCAGTTTCCAAAGTGTAATCTCGTACTGAGCTATTAATGGTTTTCTTTTCAGACTTACTAGGTGTTATCGACTTCAGAGCTATGGCCGAACCTTGCTTAGTTAACTAACTTACTGTTTTTCGGGCTTGTTCCAATCCCGGGTGAAAAGTGGGGTTGGGCGTGGGGCTAGCAACTCACACAACTAAACCTAACAAACCTCTAGAGAAATTTGAACTCACAGAAAATATATTGAAAATACAAAACATTCAAATAAGTCTTTTTGTTTGTCGGAATCTGATGGACCAAATGACACAACGCGCTGGTGAAAGTCTTCGGAAAGTCAGTCAGCCAGCTGATTAGTCAGAATGCGGATGTTTTATATATATTCGATGCACGAGGCTGCTCAGATAACCAATGAAATACGAAGATATGGCTTAGGAGTGCTGGGTATGGAGTGTCAAAATCGTCGACTGGAGAGTTAGTGATAAACTTTTGCCACCCGACGGACAACCATTAACACACTTAGACAGTGAGTCCTCAAAATGATATCACCAGTGACAGGCATAGCCTTAATACAATGGAAATGAAGCTCATCCTCCAGTAGTACGGCAGCAAGATTGAATTTAAAAGGAAGGAAGGAAGGTCACAATTATCCAATGCTGCAAACGACGCAAAACAAGAGAAAAAGGAAGATTTCTTAAGACAACCACAAACAGTATTGGACAACATCCCAAATTGTGACATCAAAACGCTTGTGGGCAATATGAATACTAGCCGAAATGGGAGCAGACAGTACAGGAAGAGAACTCATCATGAGTCTAAAGGCTCTGGCTAGGTGAAATAAATGAAATCGAAGAACTCTTCGCAGACTTCTGCACTTTCAATTATTCATTGGTGATCAGAGGCAGACTGTAAAAGCAGAAGAATATACACAAAGCCACGTGCATTTAGCCTGATGGAGACACCAAAA